GTTATCCCGTCATTATCTTCCCTCTCCATCCAATGAAACGATGGCCATTTGCGCGTATGTAGCTGCAGGGAAAAGTCTCAAAAACCACTGGGTGCGGGGCTCTCCTATGACGAAGAGGCCGGCCAGCCCGGCGCAGCAGACCTATGTAAACCTGAGAGCGTCTCTCAACCTTCCTAGCCTCCTCCTTCCTCTTTCCATGATTCATGCCGCAGGACAAACCGAAGGTCGTGAAAGGATGTCAGAAAATTCTCGGTCGAGAGTGACTATCGTGAAGAAGACTAGCCTAGCATTCAAAAGTCGTTATGGATGTGGGATCGTCGGGTAACTTATGTATTTTAGATTCCCTCTTGGCTAGTAGATTCGGAAGTATAGATTAGAAGAAACAATATTATTGACGACTCTAAATCTACTTTTCTTGAGGGTGGGACGGTCTTTAACTTTACTTTCGTGGGCTTTTTGTTCGCCCGCCGGTGGTTAGCATATGTTGTAATTTAATTAGGGCTTCTCTGACTACCGTTGAAGCGTTTGATGCCACAATATCTTTCTTATTTCTAGCATAATCATTGTCGTCTTGGTCGTCTTATGAGTTACCGGAAGCGTATCTTTGACGGAGGGGAGGACAGCTCAGCTCAGCAGACACTACAGTGAGAGCTGGAGGTTCGTAGGGGATACCTCGGACAGGTGTTGAGTTTCGTCCCGCGGTGTGACGACATAGATAAGCTATTGGAGTGTGTGCCAGTGTCCTAACTTGGCAACATCTTTTTTAATCATTCAAACGTTTTCAGTTTTTTACCCTTAACAAGTGATCAGTGCTATATGTCTATGTTGAATGGACCTTTTGACTTGAGAAATCTCATACTCTGGATTTCATTCAAAAATACCACGATGAGGTATTTTGGCTCACGCACAAGTTTTGACGGCCCGTCTGAACCAATCTTAGGGAAATTCAAAAACCTTTGTTTGTCAAAGCATGCCTTGCTCATCGATACGTATCAGCTCTGCCATAACTATGGTGAAGCTTTACAAGATTCGAACCGACGATCTCCCCTCTCAAGTGGAGTATGCGTTCAAGCTTTCCTGAATTTTCTTGATGACCGTACCTGATGGTGTACCACTGCAACATTTAACCATAGCAATATTTATATTATCGCCTGAACTCTCGAAATCGAAGCAGTATCGTGCATAAATTTCAATCTTTAGAACTCCTAGCCAAAATTCTGAAAGTAACCCCTTTCGAGATTTTTCCATCCTTGACGTCATCTTTTAATTCTATTCTGATAAATCTTGTGTCCATCATGAAAGTCTGCCTCCTCTTTCAACTATTTATATTCTCGTAGGCATGTATTTAGATTTCAATTAATGCTAGATATCGAATTGAAGTGAGGTGTGGTCATTAGAATATAGGTTTAACAGGATTTACTTGCAGACTTTATGAAGTTTTAGTTAAGATAGGCCTTGTTAAAAGAGAAAGATTGATGTGGTGGAAAGCATTGAATCATAATTTCGTGGATTATCTCCTTATCGTGAAATTGACTGAATATGGTTCTAAGAGAATATATCAATGCTAGGTTCATAAGGGATCCTGTCAGACCATCGTGATTCAGTCATCAAAAATAGAGCTCAAGACAGGGATACTCTTCTCAAGCGTTTCGCGGACCAATCATATGGGTGCTGTAACATTTATATATTTTAGAGAAATATTCCGTCTCTTCCGAATCTCCCTCTAAGTCGTCCGATCATTCACACTTTGGAAAAAATTGGACGCTGTGCTGAAAAGTGGGAAACTTCCATCCTGGGAGTTTGTATTCTATTATGTTCTGACCCAAATTATTTTTGTAGTGTTAGGGACTTGGAAAATGTCTTAGACTCATTGTTATGAGAAGCTCCAACAGCTAGTAGTTGACTAAATCCCAGCCCTCAAGACCTTATCGTTAGGGTCGGAGATTTGTAGGCAAGCCTGCTGACAGGTGTTGGGCTTTCAAACCCCCAATGAGAATAGGTTGCGACGAAAGAGTCGAATAATTGTTGATTTTCCGTGAATTTGTATAATTCACTCTAAGGTCGTGGCCAAAACGCTAATGATTAACAATGGTTAACTACTGGCATCTTACCGTGCTAGCTAGTCATACCACGACTGGATTACGACTGAAAATGTGCACATCATACGAGTTTACAGTATCAGAAAATCTCGTCACATACATAAGTTTATATATACATTTATATATATTTTGTACCAAAGACCAGATGATACCCTGAAGCCCATAACTGCTCACGTCTACCGGCCATTAGACTGGAAATAAGGCTTTAAATATATGTAGAAATGCACGTTAGTGGAAGCTACGCAATCATCTCTCCTTGGATAACTTTACAACGTTTTGTTAGCGGGAAATGAAGGCTTTCTCAGCCACAGAAAACGACATTATTGAGTCATGACGAGCAAAAATCATATACCCTGTCCTGAGGCTGAAATGGGATTTCTCGATAAGCTTCATTGAGGTATAAATAGAAATAAGATATAAATCTGATAGTTAAATTGATACTTTGATAGAAAATTTATTTGATAAGGAACTTTATCAGTTGACATTAAAATCTGTCACGTAGACTTGAGCGTGCCATTTTGAATTGGCGTCAGTAATTTCGGTGATAAGATGCTCTGTAGTGGTTATCAATAGTGTAGGCTCAGTGATACCTGGAATGTAGGTTGTTGTTGAAAGTTATCCTTCAGTGGTGATAATTAACGACGCTGATACATCGAATACGATATTGCAGAAGCAAATGGCTCGCGTTCCCTTGTATTCTGCAAAAAGTGGCCAAGCGGCCTCCCGTATAGTGTCCGCTAGTGGAGCACCCGAGACTCGTGAGGTCGCGTCCGATTTACCTACACAGCCAAGCGCTGTCCTCTTAACTGCAGAAAACAACTTTACTATCCCGACTTATCGTTTTGTTCACCCTTTACCAGCATCTAAGTACAGCAAAGGTTTTCTGTCGAAAGAATCCTAAAAGCCTCTGCAGCCGCCTAACAACGACGTCCAACATGGCTCCCAGTAAGCCCGTCGTTGACTTCAATGCAATTGTACAGGCAGGCATGCAACTCTAAATATGTTAAAATATTCTTTTATCTTCCTAACAAAATACAGATCGTCGGCGTCGTAAAAATGAAATAGCCGCTCAAAAGATATTTGGAAAGGCCCGTAGGCACAGCTCCTCGGGCATTGCAAGCAATGAAACTGTCAATCCATCCCCCTCTCTGGCCAGCAGAGTTGGCCCTGCACCCAGAAAATCCGGCGGAGCACGATCACTTAACAGTAGGGCTGGGCCAATTGGAATCACGAAGGTACAGACATAGTTTAAGAAGGCTTCGCCGACTCTAACACTCTATAGCGTACGAGCTCAGCAGTAAATAAATCTGGGCGAGTTGGAAGCGATACACAATTCTCACGTCCGAGACCAGAGTGGGCTGACGACCCTAACATGAAGAATTCATTTCCAATGAGCTCTCATCCTCCTCCCCGCGGTCCAAAGTTACTACGATCAAATTTTGATGAGCGCCCGCACAACACAGCTTTGACTGGAGAACCATCACCTGCACTTCATAGTCAGTTAAACATTGCGGGAAACGCAAGGCCAGCAGAAGGTCTTTCTATCCGTGGGCTGGCCGGCCCATATCGAGTCATGGTGAAAAACTTGGCAGCCGGAACAACAGCTGCAGATATTGAGAGTGCTATGATGCCGGTCGGAGGAGTCGTTTTAAGTTGTCGACTTGTCGCAGAACGACCTCGAGTCATAGCAGAGGTCATATTTGAGACTAAGGAAGGCGCAGATAATGTTGTAGAAACGTTTAATAATCAGAGTGTAAGTTTGGCCGTCCAAATAATGGGAATTCCACGGATCTAACTTGTAATTGTTAGGCCGATGGTAATATTCTGCATGTCTACCACAAGCTTGGACCAATTCCCCGCTCCATGAAGATGCCACCCGCTGCTCCCTCAGGTCAAGCTCTAGCATCACTTGGGTCTCGATCTGATCTTATCGCCGGCTGGTCTGATGATTCAAGGTCATATGGAGATTCGGACCTCTACACACCGAGAGGTCGCAGTCGAGATCGCCACCGAGAGTACGAAAGGGACGAAGTAATGGATGGGTCATACGGTTTTGACGATCGTCTAGAAAATTACGACCGCGTCGACAAGAACAGAGTTACTCGCTTATATAGTGACAGCATGATCGGGGCAAACCATCCACGTGGCCCCCGAGGTGATAGAGGTCGGGGTGGTTATCGATAAAGATCCGGCGGTACTATGTACTTGCGAGTCTCAACGAGCCGTCCAGGCTTCCCTCTTAATGATAACATAGGAGTTGGTAATTGGAGGTTTCATCACGCGATCTCAAATTGGAAGCTTTTTTTAGTTGTTCCGGATAATAGCTAAATGGGCTTCCGATTCGCATGGCGCGAGTCTCCTAATCCTACATGTATTTGCATATTTGTAGTTCAGCACCTCTACAGAAGTCTGAATGTCCAGGTTTTCATTTGACTGACATTTGTTATAGGGGCATCAAAAGCCTTGTCATTTAAGATTTGCAAAATCCCCTCGTTGCTGCGCCTTGTACCCACGCGACAGCTCTAGCGTACATGATTGAGAAACTCCAGGCCATTTTATCATCAAATTCAAAGCGTAATTAACGGCTCACCGGAACGCTATAGTTCCGGGATACTCGATCTCCGCCAGTTACTTCCCAAAAGAGGGATATATCTGTCACGTACATTATAGATCTGAAATCTCTTTTTACTAATTCTTCCGCATAAGAGATTTCAAGAAGTAGCAAACGATGTTAATCTTCTTGACCCCCTAAAAATGATAAAGGGCTACTTAGATATAGGAAACGCATGTACCAGTAATGAGAAACTTTCTCCAGTAGAATATCCCTTTTGGTGATCGTTTGATCTGAGTACAAATTCGACGTGTGAATTTAATAGTGTAAAACTAAATGGGAATGATTCTTCAATGCCATTGACTTTGAAACATGAAGCCTTCTTCAAGAGTTCGATCTTCTAGGTTTTGGATAAAGTCTCTATTGCTTCTTGATCCATCCTGATTGGTTTGAGCTAATCGGATATTTCCTTTACGTACATTACCATAAATTGTGTCTGCCGGTCCATCAGGCGGAGGTGGATAATATGCCGGGCTTGGTTGTAGACGAATTGGGTGATTAGGATCAAGATGGCTAGCTACCCTCTGTATGGCAACCGGAACACCCCCTTGCTGAAATTCCATAGTGGAGGCCCTTCGACGTCCAGAGCGCACAGCGGCTTGTACATACAGGCTTTGTTGAGAAGTGCCATTATTATAGTGTGGTGGTTGGTTTTGAGATGATAACTGTGGCATTATGGCCAGTTGAGTATAGCTTTGTTGCGGATATGGGGGCGGGGCAGCTTGATGAGATGAGCCTTGTGAAAACATATTACTATTAAAAGCGGCTGGTGCGGGCTGCGACTGATTTGAGTGAGAAAACTGGTTTATTGAGATTCCGCTGGGGTAGGATGGTTGGGCTACGATCTGAGATTGCTGCGTGTGAGCCTGGACTTGTAATTGTGCTTGCATAGCATGAGCTCTTTGTTTATTGAAAGAATCAGTTTGTTGTTGGTGTTGAGATTGAGATTGCTGTAACTGAGTGTGTGGTTGTGATTGCGAATGAGGTTGCGGCAGTGTTTGCGGCTGAGACGGAGGGTGAGAAACTGGTTGAGTTTGCGGCTGTGTTTGCTGGTGAACTGTTGTTGCAGGAGAACGGTAAACAGTACTTGGCTTCAAGTTCATTGGCGGCACAAAGGGACCAGTAAATTTCTGTTGTGTGATAAATGGATGAAGTTTCGCTTGCTGCGGGGACCAACGCTCTAGTGGATTAATATTTAGCAGTCCGCGCACAAAGTCAATGAAGGCAATACGATTGTTCATTTCTGCAAAACGTTATTCAGTCAGATTAGAGCTACTCGAAAGTGGGGCACATATTTTATTACCTCTATCAATCTCAGTTTGTTTCATATCCTTACGGGGCATCGCATAAGATCTAATAATTTCTGGTAGAGTTGTGGCTTGAAAATATTTCTTGCTGGGTTGCTCTTTAGTCCCATGCTCCCTCGAATACTGCTCCATGCTTTTGAGGTGATACGTGCGTCGACCATCCGCAGCATGTCTCTTTTCAAAGAATTCCCCTGCTTGTTTACCCTTGTCTAACATCCAACTTGGTGGGTTTCCAAGCATTTCGACTATACGAGAAACTTGATTATACTCCGAGGAGCCCGGAAATAGAGGGAGTCCAAGGAATAACTCAACGACAATGCACCCAAGAGACCACATGTCGATGGCAGATGAGTAAGGTAGACCTAGAAGAACCTCTGGCGATCTGTAAAATCTAGATTGTATGTAAGTATAAACAGTTTGTCTTTCATCACAGGCAGATCCGAAGTCAATAATTTTGATAATAGGGCTCTCTAGATTCTTGAGTAATATATTTTCCGGTTTTAGGTCACAGTGTATCAGGCGTGCTTTGTTTAACAAGCTTAAACCTTTGAGAAGTTGTTGGGAAAATACTCGTACAAGAGTAGTACTGAGTCCTCGGAACTGATTCTGCTTAATTAATTCATAGAGGTTAACACTCAATAACTCGAAAACCAAACACAGATGTTGCCTATGAATAAATGTATCTTTTAAGCGCAATAAGTGGTGATCATCGTTTTTGTCAAGCTTTGTGTTCAACTATAGTTCACTATCAGCTCTAAGCCGATAAATCTGGTTGGCTATATCCTACCAAGTCAAGCACAGATACCTCCATCATACTTTGATTAAAGTATGCTGTGCGATTTTTTACCACTTTGACAGCTACAACTTCTTGGGTCTTTAAATTCTGACATTTAACAACCTGTCCGAAAGTTCCCTGTCCTAGGACATCAAGGATCAAATACCGATTCCTAATCTCCTAGTTAGCACTAATGCATAAGTTTGCTATGATTTTTTAGGGCTGGATATACTTATGACCAGTTTCTTCGGAACCAAGGATATCGTTAACGTAGAGTATATAATCACAATCCTCGTTATCAAAGCCATCGTTCTTAACCCCCTTGCTTGGCTTTGTGAGAACTCGACGTGGGTTTCGAGATGATTCGTATTTGAAGTTTGGATTACAGATACGATAGGTCGATGGAAGATGGCTCGTAAGCGCTTGCAATGGCTAGTTTAATGAAACCAAGATCAGTGTATGGGTACGCGATCATTCTGAAGTTTTAAACTCACACTAATAAATCCACCTTCAGGATCAGCTCTTCGAAAGGCTGGCTGAGAATTTATTTTAGGCTGGAGGTCTGCTGCAGAGCGTATTTTAACGAATTGAAGGACACAGCCTCGTCCCGAGTGGCTAAGTGAGTTTTGGGTTATGTGGCGCCTAGGAGACCTCCCGTCATTTCCCAAAACTGCGTTGAGCTGCACACTTGCTGAAGGATTCCGTGTCTCACTTTTTGAAGAATACGGGGTGGCAGACGGGATCTGACGTGTTTGTTGACGGCTAGAATAACAATAGATTGGGGAAGAATAACTACCGGGTCGTGTCGGTGATTGACGTGAGCTTTGTCTATTCTGTATTTGATGAGGTGGCCCAAACGACGAATTAGAAGATGATGTGTCCATGGGGGAAAATCGCTGAGCTGCCGGAGACGGATCTTGCGAAATATAATTTGAAGGTCCTCTTGCGGGAGAGGGGTGCAGTTGATCGTAGGGTCGTGCTAGACAATTTATTCGATTGTAAGGGTCACTATTGTCATGCATTGGGATATCTCCGCCCTTCTCTCTCAGGTGATAATTCGTTGCTGCTGAAGGGGATATTGATGGAGACTGTGGATGTTTATAAGGCTCATATGCGAAACATGCTGAAGCCGGTGTTTGCGAGCTCCCGCTGAAATTACTGGCTAAATGTACCTGAGTAGGAGGAGGGTTGTATTTCCTAGAAGTTCCAGATTCGGAATAGGGCTGTAGCCATTCATCCATGATTTTAGAAATCGCCAAATAATCTTAAAGCTGTCGAGTGCTTCTGTGAGCTGCCAGTTTGCACCAGTCCGTAATAAAAGCTTCAATATAAGTGAACGTCTCCAAGCGAATATGTAAATAACCACAATGAAGGTTCTATGATTTGGTGCCGCTATTTCGACTTTCCTGCCTCTTGGTAAAACTAGGTTACTGTAGGCGTGATATCACTTTCGACCGAGGCAGTAATAGCCCGTAGAATTCCAGAGGCGTATTAAATCTGCATGGTGAAAGGGAAGCTAATGAGGTGGGTAGGTTTACGTAGATGTACCTCTGAGGAGAAGGGACAAGGTGGGCGGGATGGGGATTGTGTCATGCACGAAAGATGAATAAGACAGACAGCGAGTTATGAAGTTCGCCTAACATTGGCACCGCCATACCGCAGCGCACACCCTTTTGGTAAACAAGCTAGAGATAAAACTTATGTTGGTATCTCTCTGTCGGTCAGGTTCATGTAAAAAGTTTGGCGTGCTTCCACAAGTAAATGCGCAAGCCAAAATCAATTTATACGGCAATACCTACAGTCCTGCGAAGCAAATTTTTGGTTGTTTTCGTCGGGAGCCTGCACTGCATAAGTTTTTCCGGTGCACGAGCTAGTCAGAGATTTCATAACTACCTTATATCAGGTTCCACAGTTCAGCCGCGCCTATCTGAGTCGCATTTGTCCTGGGCTATGCACGCCTAGATAGACATACACGCCAGCTCTCTGCTCAGCCGTGGATGCTCAAATTCGTCGTCTGAACAGGTTCTCAATCTCGACTAATGACAGAAAAACTATCGATTAAACGGGCACTAATCCCAAAATCTTTACAGAAACGAACCCAGATGTGTACTTGCGAAAATATTTAAGTGATAACATGGGAGGATTAATACTCGAAAAAATATGAGGATAAGTGTAGAAATATTAGTCTTCTTTATTTCAGTGACTATAAACAACGCATGTGCAACAGCATGTAAGTATTCCGATAGATACATGAAGGCCCATGAGCAACCAGGGCAAACATGTGATTATGCACACATATCACAATGGAGATAGTCTATAGTTTGAGAGTTCAAAGTTATAGATATGCGCGAAGCTAAATATCTCACAATTTTGTGATGGACTGATCTCGTTCGGGTATTCTTCATCAAACTCTAACCTTCTAAAATTTTGCGAACAAAAGTTGTGGCAAGTCAGCTTTCGAGACAAATGTAGCTACAGAACTAAACTTTTACGATTGATCTTCCTTTCCTTCACCTGAAATACCTCCGTATATCCACAATAAACAAAAGGATAATGCTAAAACCTTTCTACTCTAATTTCCGCCCATTTAGGGGCTCTAAACCTATCAGGCCTGAACCAATAACCCATTAATACCAACAATCCCTCAAAATTTATCAGGTAATATTCAAGAGGCTGGCACCATTACAGAAGGTACAGTCGTTGCTTTTTCCGAATAACAACTCGGGTAACCAGTTCGATCTTTTGCACGTTTGCGCGACATTAAATGGCTGACTTGGTATTCAAAGTTGCAAAAAGTAACTTTTACACTCTCACATCATGTTACAGAGTAACAGCTAGTACGCGAAATATTTCGTAGAAAACATGAAATTTTAAATCATGCATCGAGTCTCTTTTTTGCACTTACCATAAAATTTTGACTATTTATTCCCATGCAGGACCGTCCTATTGAGTGTCCAGATACTTTCTAATAATTGTAGAAGCAGCAGAATATTTACTAACTTATGCAGCTATTTAATAGATGGTGAAGTCCATTGAATATCATAGGCCAGCCGTTGAAGCTCTTGAAAACTTGTCTATCACTACATCTGTTACTGCTTATCGGACTAGACTTGAAATGATTAAAATTACTTCGACTTATCCTCTGTAATCTTCATCCCAAGTTTAATGAACAGGCCTACAACTTTAAACTGAGGCTTAAACCCCGTTAGAAAATTAAGTTACGAAAAAACAAAGTTACTCCGTTTTATTTCCAAACAGATCTCGATTCAAATAAGCTGAAGCCCAGCCCTCTTTATTGCGATATAAATTCTTTCAAGAAATCTCATAATCATCCTGGTGAAACAAGTCTTCCGTACTTAGAATATTCTGTTGCAGACTTATTATAGATCTGTTGAGCTAAATCACAATTTACGGAAAAGTCTATGAAAATTTCGCAGGTACACTTTAGAAGCACTTTTTATAGATAAATTATTGAGATCACACTGTCACAACGACGAATAAATGAATTTTTATTCGTGACGGGCACAAGCCCTGTATTCAAAGTGCATGACACAGAGAATACTAGTTCCTCGATGACTATATAAGAAGATAGCTCAGTTTGACACTTGGACTACTCATGTAGTGGGTGCATTCGCTGATACCATTCGAGACCTTGGTGCTAGGGACTCTCACCCTTCCCTCAACCGTTAATATCCACCAAAGGGAAAACAGGAATAACCTTTGGCTACCCTAGTATGCCTTTGTCATATTTTATATAGCCGCCGTGCGAGATATGGCCTCACAATCCTCCCTTTCTCGATTAGAGTAGGTGTCCAGGCTACCCAGACTTTAAATCGGAGACATGACAACCAGGAGGCAGACCAAAACACCTTCCATCGTTGCCTGTTTTTAGAGTGTCGGTTACACTGTCCTAGATCGTTGCCTCGGCGCCTACAAGCACTCCAAAGTCGAAAACACTCGAAAAATGTGCGACCTAGCATGCCCATTTGTGATTTCTTCACTCGTTCGTCCAACGTTCCAGCTGCCTATCCTTTCTCAAGATGTGAAGCCCCATTAGAGCAACGGTCCCCCATAGACCAAGACCAGAGCTTTGTAGATTTAACATAGTAGAGCTTGGAAAAGAATTAACTCAGAGACATATCATCACTTTCTCTTGCCTAACCTGACTTGACCACTAATTTCGAGAGAAGTTTGGGGGCTCCGAAGACAATTGGATGATCAGATCAAGTGATCCGCCCATATGCTGTCAACATAAGACACTAGGAAGACCAAAGCTAAATAATAATTTGATGTTTCTTCGACAAGAATGGTTTTGAGATATTACTTCGGGACCGAGATTCAGTCACGACAAGAAAAACATTTGAGTGTATTTAACAAGATGACGACTGGAGGGAGAAGTCTCGGTCAGTATTCGGTCGAAAATCAGACCTGCAGAGATTTCACGATTGCATAACCCAACGAATCCAACAATTAACACACCAAGTATGAACCGCAGAAAGGATCATACCTGTGATTTTAGCATAATAATAATGGATAACCTTATCTTTAGTGTTAGAAATTGTCAAGGTTTTCTAGGAGGAAATATCTCGAAGAACAAGTGTACAATTTCGGACAAGATTTTATTGATAGTTGTATGTGATATCGAACTTTCTTCTCAATATGAATGAATAATAAATAACACACCGTTAACCTAGTTTTACATGCAAAGATGAGTCTGTCCTTAAATACAGATCCTGAACTCCCAGTGATCTAGCAACAACCAGCCACTCAATTATCGCAAGGTAGCATTTCCTAGCCACTGCATTCCAGATGCCACTGAATCTTATTTCGTCCAACTGAGCTTAATCATATTCAATCGAATCAACTCAACTGATCTTGATGATCATACCTAGAAATCTAAACCTTCATACATGCTGAGTCTAGATTTCCAACATTTAGAGATATACGGGGGACATTGTATTACGTTGTAAATGATGATTAGAGACCAATATTTTATTTATAATTTTTAACGTCGTGTAGAGACACCCATTGCTACTGGTAGAATTTTTATAATACTAGGAAGGTCGTGTGGCCTGACTAGCTTGGTTTACATGAGTGGGTGAATTACTATCCCTAGACACCAACACCATCTTGACTTCACCCTAAAGGTCTTTCTCAGCTAAGATCTTTTGCGACCCTCCCTACGATCATCACACCACCTAACACAACTCATGGTTAAAACGCAAAGTCATATTCACTATCAAAGAAACAAAAGTAAATTCGACGCACCACAATTGCCGCGCGCTGTGGAGGTATGATGGAAGTGCCGACCTTACCTGTGCATATTCCTTGACCAAGGGCACATCAAACTTGCTTTCTGACAAATCGATGGCGACTAAACTCACGAAATTTTGCTAGTATATCAACAGGAGCATCCAACATAGACCAAGCTGCCGGTGCTTTGGTCTTGAGCTCATCTTTGCATGCTAAGCCTTCTCGGTAAGAGGTATAGCAGTGATGAGCCAAGGCCAAGCCTTTAGTTAGATTTCAAGCTGATAGTATGTAGAGGTTAACAGATGAACGAAGAAGATGCTTCGATAGCAAAGTAGAAGTAAAAGATTAATATCGAGAAAACCGGGCCCTGTACTTGATCAGGAGAGATTATGATTGGGTGAAGACGGATATGGAAGTTAGGGGTAAGCTAAATAATGAGAAGGAATTATAGAATCGGTTTCGTGAAATCAGATTCTGAGGAAAAATCTCCGTTTTGGTGCTATAAAAATACACTATTTAAATGGAAAGATATAGTACGATTTAGTAAATGAGTAAAGTTTGAGGTATTCTAGCTATTCAGCTTGATCGAGGCTAACGTATTCAATGGTAGTTCAACTGAACCAGCTCATTTCAACCCTTACTCAAGCTCTGAAGAGTGGGATTATTCTCAACACCTGTCAGTGGTGTCCCCTACGCATCTTCATCTCTCGCTGTAGAGTCTGCAGAGCCGAGATTGAGTAACAAAAGTCCTCACCTCGATGGGGATTCCCAATCGCTTTCACCGTCTATATCGTCTTCATCTCTCAACACAACCCCTCTATCACCATTATCGTAAAGCTAACCACGATCAGATTAGATGGTAGGTTCGGAGCCCTACTCATCACCAACCCTTGATCATGGAGGAAAAGCCATCCGATGAGTTTTCGGAGCGTACCCGGCACCCGATACGGGAATGGTGGATTGGATCAAGTCGATCTCGACTGTTACA